CCAGAGACAACTCAGTGGCGACAACAAATTTTACCATTCCGGTTCGAGTATTGTCCTCCGAATACACCTACGTGGATATGTGTGAAGTCGTAGAATTGACACTTGGACTACCAACTTGCAATTGTATTTGACCAGCTGGAAGAAGTCCATGTCTGACCGCACATGCTTTGTAGTAACGGTTGAAATGGGTGGTACCAATTCCTTTTTGCCATGCCAATCTTTGTTGGCAGTATTTACATACTGCTTTAAATTCTGCAAGGTCATCGACGACTTTTTCCGTTAAAATCAACTTAAAGTGATCCCAACATGTTGCTTGTTTTTTGCTCTTTCGCTTTCCCCTTGCATTTGGGATGTTTAATTCTGCATCTTCATCCTCATGTTCTGTTTCGAAAACGTTAATATCATCCAAATCAATTGGATTGTGGCTTCCCTGACCGTGAATGTGAACATCTTCAGGTATGGGTACGTCATTTAGACCAGCAAATTCATTTGAAAATTGACTTTGCGGCGTCCTATGCGATTCACATGATGTGGCCCACATCTCGTATCGAATAAACTCTCAACGAATGAGCATTGGTCCATTTGTTTGAATGTTTATGATGAAATCCAAATATAATACCTAGAAAAATATAAATATTGTGAGAATTGAGAATTGAATGAATTGAATTGTAACTAATAAACTGTAAAAATTGAATCGATATTATATATTTTGCAGCACAAGAGAGTAAAAACTCGATAATTAATATAATAAAAGAGATTTGAGACTTGAGAGAATTGAAGTAGTGATTGAGTAATTAATATGCCAAAAAAAAAAGAGTTAAGGGGCATTTATAGTAGAAGGGAAAAAAAATATAAATAAAAATTTCAGTGACCGTGACCAAACGGTCACTGAAATTTTTTAAAAAGTACCGTTTTGATCACTATAAATAAAGAGCAGCTCGTGGCTCGTTATTTTTTACTAGCCACGAGTCGAGCCGCTCGTGGCTCGTTACTTTTAACGAGCCACGAGCCCGAGCGGCTCGTCTTCCGCTCAGCTCGCCTCCGAACGAGGCCCACTCAGCTCGCGCTAGGGCTCGTGATTTTACGAGCTCGAGTGGTCCACGAGCCTTATTTCGACGAGCCGAGCGGTCTAGCTGACAAGCGGCTCAACCCTTTTGACATCCCTACATATCGGTTCTACTAAGTCTTGAAGCTGTAAAAGTCCATTTACACTTATCATCAATACACTTCAACACATACTCATTCTTGTCCGGCTTACTTACCTTGAGTTAAAAGTTATTGTGTATCGCATATATTGAAATACTTCTCTTAACCAATGTCTTGTTCCTGAACACTTTATCTTTTGAAATTCCATCCATAGTGACCACTGAAATGATATCACTTCCTCCTTCATTCGTCGTTTCTCCAACTTCCGACATACTATTGTATACATCAATCGTAATTTCTTCCATACTAGGTAATTTTTGAGCTGATGTCACAGAATTATCAGTTACAACAACTTCACAAAAATGCAATTGTAGCATATCATTTTTTTCGTAATTGACAGCCTCCAAACATTGTATATTATTAACAAATTCAACTTCGTGACTTTTTGATACTGTTGTCACATCTACGCACAATGGAAAGCTTGCAAGATCTTTATCCTTTCTCTTCAGCTCCAAATAAAATGTTAGTGAAATATCGTCTGAAATCTCCATTAAAGGCAGGTTTTTCTTCACTTTATATTGTATTTTTACTCTCTGAGTTGATGCACTTACTTTTATCACAGAACATATTATGCACTCAAGGTTGTTGTACGTGCAATCTATCGGGACAATAATTTCAGTCATTTTGTCACTTGTGTACTCATTATCTTGTGTCCACTTACCTCCATAACAAATGAAGACATTGATTTTATCCATACCTACAAAAATATTACAAAGAGATTGTGTGAGTTTTTTTTTTTTTTTTTTTAAGTGACAGAGTAATATGTATCTAATTATTTGGCCAAAAGTAATGCTGTGATTGTTTCTGAGAAAAGTGATAGCTTGTCAATTTTTCATATTTTATTTCATCAAACACTATGCATGCATTAATGTACTTGATTCAAAATTTTCATTTTCATATTTATTACCAGAAAACAGGGCTTGAATATGTATCTTAATAATTCTAAAAATGCATACGAATGCATCTACTTATTTGGTCAAAAGTGACACTGACTTTTTTCTGAAAAAAGTGACAGCATGTCAATTTTTCACATTCTCCTTCATCAAGCACCATGCATGCATCAATGTACTTGATTCGAAGTCTTCTTTTTCATATCTATTATCAGAAAACATGGCTTGAATATGTATCTTCATAATTCAAAAAATGTACACGAATGCATCTAGTTATTTAGCCAAAAGTGATGCTGTGACTTTTTCTTAGAAAAGTGACAGCATGTCAAATTTTCACTTTTTCCTTCATCAAACACCATGCATGCATCAATGTACTTGATTCAAAGTTTTCTTTTTCACATTTATTACCAGAAAACTAGACTTGAATATGTATCTTAATAATTCCTAAAATGCACATGAATGCATCAAGTTATTTGGCCAAAAGTGATGCTGTGATTTTTTCTGAAAAAAGTGACAGCGTGTCAATTTTTCACATTCTCTTGCATCAAACACCATGCATGCACCAATGTACTTGATTCGATGTTTTCTTTTTCATATTTATTTCTAGAAAACATGGCTTGAATATGTATCTTCATAATTCCAAAAATGCACATAAATGTATCTAGTTATTTGGCCAAAAGTAATTCTGTGACTTTTTCTGAAAAAAGTAACAGCATGTCAATTTTTCACATTCTCCTTCATCAAACACCATGCATGTACCAGAAAACAGGGCTTGAATATGCATCATAATAATTCCAAAAATGCACATGAATGCATCTACTTGTTTGGCCAAAAGTGATGCTATGACTTTTTCGGAAAAAAGTGACAGCATGTTAATTTTTCACATTTTTCTTCATCAAACACCTTGCATGCATCAATGTATTTGATTCGAAGTTTTCTTTTTCATATCTATTACCAGAAAACATGGCTTGGATATGTATCTTCATAATTCCAAAAATGCACATGAATGCATCTAGTGATTTGACCAAAAGTGATGCTGTGACTTTTTCTTAGAATAGTGACAGCATGTCAAATTTTTACTTTCTCCTTCATCAAACACCATGCATGCATCAATGTACTTGATTCAAAGTTTTCTTTTTCATATTTATTACCAGAAAACAGGGCTTGAATATGCATCTTAATAATTCCCAAAATGCACATGAATGCATCTAGTTATTTGACCAAAAGTGATGCTATGACTTTTTCTGAAAAAAGTGACAGCGTGTCAATTTTTCACATTCTCCTTCATCAAACACCATGCACGTATCAATGTACTTGATTTGAAGTTTTTTTTTATATCTATTTCCAGAATATATGGCTTGAATATGTATCTTCATAATTCCAAAAATGCACATAAATGCATCTAGTTATTTGGCCAAAAGTGAAGCTGTGACTTTTTCAAAAAAAAGTGACAGCATATCAATTTTTCACATTCTCCTTCATCAAACATCATGCATGTACCAGAAAATAGGGCTTGAATATGCATCATAATAATTCCAAAAATGCACAAGAATGCATCTACTTGTTTGGCCAAAAGTCTGTGACTTTTTCGGAAAAAAGTGACAGCATGTCAATTTTCCATATTCTCCTTCATCGACACCATGCATGCATTGATGTACTTGATTAGAAGTTTTCTTTTTTCATATCTATTACCAGAAAACAGGGTTTGAATATGTATCTTCATAATTTCAAAAATGCACACGAATGCATTTAGTTATTTGGCCAAAAGTGATGCTGTGACTTTTTCTGAAAAAAGTTACAGCATGTCAATTTTTTACATTCTCCTTCATCAAACACCATGCATGTACCAGAAAACAGGGCTTGAATATGCATCATAATAATTCCAAAAATGCACAGGAATGCATCTACTTGTTTGTCCAAAAGTGATGCTGTGACTTTTTCGGAAAAAAAGTGACAGCATGTCAATTTTTCACATTCTCTTTTATCAAACACCATGCATACATCAATGTACTTGATTTGAAATTTTCTTTTTCATATCTATTACTAAAAAATAGGGCTTGGATATGTATCTTCATAATTCAAAAAATGCACACGAATGCATCTAATTATTTGGCCAAAAGTTATACTGTGACTTTTTCTAAAAAAAGTGACAAAATGTCCATTTTTCATATCTCCTTTTGTCAAACACCTTGTATGCATTATTTTAAGTGATTCAAAGCTAACGTCACATTTATTACCAGAAAACAAGACTTGGATTGTTATGAGATAATGGTTAAATACATTCACATAAGCTCACAAGTGACCAAAATTTTATAGTAAATAGCCCACATTCACTGTGCCACTAATTCATACGGTGCCACATTCACAGTAAATAGCCCACATTTACGATCCCCAGACTATGCCACTTTCACCAAAATTCATAAGTGACCAAAACACATTCACATAACCTCACAATAGTTATTTTTGCTTCTATTTCGATCATTCATTGTAGGTTAACAAAATTGTAGAAGTATTTAAAAATGATTCAAAAACATAGAAAAAAACCTGTCTCGACAAAGATTTCAATGTTGAAGTAGCTTGATCTTTCTCCAAAGCTTTGAATAATGAATGAACTTGTGAAAATTTACATCTTTCTCCTTCCAACTTTCCCTCGACTTTTCCAGTTTGGAGGCCCGTGGTTTTAGGTTTGAACGTATTTTTTACATTAAAATATGGGTAATTACCATTTAATCCCACTTTATCATAATTTTTCAAAACAGTCCCAAAATATATCAAAATCAACGGTTAGAAAGCCAATACTGGTTTTTTAAAAGCAAGCACACGATAAATATAGTCCACTTCGATCCGGTTCTTGTAAGAATCAATTCAGAACAGTCATTGTACAAGTAAATATGATGGAAGTAATACCAAAAAATATAACTTCATTAGACAATTTGGGCGAAAAATAAAAATAAAAATTGAAAATCCTTAAGCACCATAGTAATAATGATTATCCTCGCTCTTAAATTCAAGTACAAAACCAGACGATGTTCTCAGATCTCTCATCATTGTAATTTCAGGTGTTGATAGGGGACAGAAATTTTGGTAATACTGATTTGGTCTAGAAAGAGAGAGTGCCAAAGAACAGTACGCAACGCAGAAACAAAAACCCGACTAGAGCAACGCATAACTCGAATCTTGTGTAATCCTTCAAACTGGCAAACAGCATCTTGGATAACTGGAACATCCTACATTCAACACCTGCAGACCTGCAAAGACGGAATTACATGATACTTCTAACCATTATCTTACATACTAACCGATTCCATTAGAAATCTAGGAGCTTTGCTGTGAGTACAGCCTAATGTCTACTGCATGACATTCTTTCCCTGTGCCTTGACCTTTTCTGCAACTTGTTCATCGGACAATGGTAAGTAGTAGATACGAGGGGTTGCTATGGTTTTCCTGAAGAGATCGTCCAAAGTGACAATTGGTGGGTCAACTTTCTCGGCAATTGGAGGTGGTGGCGGAAGATTAAGTCGTTCCCTTGCCGGGAGCGGGAGTGGCTGTTCCCTTTGCGGGGGTTCCCTCTCTAGTTGTGGGCGTTCCCTGGCAGGGAGTAGGTTAGCCAACAGGGGTGGAGGAGGAAGTGGAGGAGGAAGAGGAGGTGGAGGAAGATGCTGCCTCTGAAACTGTTGGCGTGGAGAAGGCTGGGGGAGCTGTGCAGTGGGTTGAGCAGGAGGGAAGTTAGGAGGAGCACTACCTGGAGTTGCAGGAGACGGGGGAGGCGCCTCAACCCTTGTTTTAACTTCTTGAGGATCAACAAACTCGGCTACCAATAAGCGTCCCCCATTTGGAGGCCACTGGAGATTGTACACAGCATTACGAGTTTCTACAGCTTCTTCAACAGAAGAATACTGCATATACAAAGCAATTACTAATTATTTGATCTATAGATCTCTGATTTAAAAAAAAAAAAAAACCCAGCTAAGAAACAAGAGTCCTGAATTGATATATCTTCATGTTTTACCAGTAAAATGGTCCTGTATAATTTCTCAACCTAGTGCAGCATTAAGCCCCTTTTTGGCCCCACTAAAATTTTAATTCATTTTTTCTCTCCCTATCAACCACACATTCTCCAATAAAATAATATTACATATAAACCCAAAACTTTTCTTTCTTTTTTAACCACATATTCTTCAAAAAATTACTATTCCAAAATACATTTTTTCTAGATTCTCATCATTATGGGACCCAAACAAGGGCTAAACATCAACGTAGACTCCGAAAAAATGAATAGAAACAGTCTCCTAGGAGAAGAGAGATAAAACAAACATACAGAAACATAGCAATGAGTTTTGATGTGATCCATCCAGAAATTGGTGATCGTGCCCTTTTTTCCAAGTAGCTCTTGAACGGCTTTCAAAGTAAAAGGGCGCAGAAAATTATCAATTCTGAGAGCAGCAGTGCAAGGCTTTGCTGACGGCGGAACTGCCATAAAAACATATTAATTCTGTTCAGAGAATGAACTGATACTCTCAAAAAAAAAAAAAGATACACAAAAACATAGTAACTTACCCACACGCTCCTTCGGTGTTTCTTCACTGACTGTAGAGTCAGATCTAGAGAAGCTGCGCTTAAAAGCAGGCTTAAATGGATCCTTAGGCATAATAGAACCCACTACATTACCACTTTGCAGTTCAGGAACCTTGAGAGCTTCTGAGTTCCACCTCCGCTGCCTCTTTACAACGTCAGTGTTTCCAACTGCTCCTCCATCTGTAAGATGACCTCGTTAAATAATTTTCACACAGCTGGTGAAGAATAAAAGCTGTAGAAATTGCAGGGGTACTGCTAAACCAGATTTTCCAAGCCATCAACAGTGAAAGGCTATGATCTATAACGACATTCAAGCAGAGAAAACATGGTGGAACAAAATGCCTAATCCATGCAGAGGCTTGACTTGTGTGGTCAATCAGACATTTTTTGGATGCTGTTTTTTTCATATTAATTTATTTAGTTTGCAGAAAAATAATTACAACATAATAATACAATATTTTCAAAAGTACTGAATTTGAGAAAAATTAATAAATCAATATGACTCATGGTTCATAAAAACAGACATTTGCACCACAAAATTCAACCAAGCATAAGTTCTAAATTAAATCACTCACCCATATTAAATTTCTCAACTTGAAGACCAAATTCTTTAGTAAAACTTTTTAAAATTTGATGATACTTGAAGACAGGTGAAGTATAGAGTAGGGACAGCTATTTCCTCAAAAATAAAAATTCTGAAATTAATAGTTCTCCAACATACAAAAGCCATATATTGCTATTATTATATCAGTTTAATACCTTGTTTGGCAACTGTTTATAAAGAATAATGTTATTTATATATAATGTAGTTAAAAAAGGGTTTACATACAGATGAGGTATCAAAAAGAGAGCGAAGATTTTTATTTTTATTTTTATTGTAGAACTTCTGATCCAATCATATCTCACCACATCGTGTGTGTGTGTAAATTATTATATACACGTAATACAATCGGTTTACAAATTGTTCATAGTAAGTCAAACTACTATTTATCCACATATTTCATAGAACTCACAAGTAATATCCACTTAAACACCACTCGTTTCGATCTATCTATATTTTAAACCATTTACAAACAACTCACAAACATGCTTTAAATTGCAAATATCACAATTCATTTTCACCTTCCACATAAGAAAAAATATACTTTGTCATACAAACCTTTCATCCCAGCTCCTGATGTTACTTTTGCTCTGACACAGTTCTGACTATACTAGAAGCAACAGAAAGGAAGGACACCTAGTAGACACTAAAAATTCATCATTCATATAAATAGCTCTATCATCTTAAAAGACCACATTCACACCATCTATGCTGAAAAGACAACATCTTCAAATGACACTTCAATTCTCACAAACCAAAAGCAAAAGGGTTTTGCTAGAGGACAAATACGTAGGATGTAAGAGCCTAATGGTTTGCAAAGCAAATGAGAACATTGAAAGCAATGAAATAGAAAACAATTGCGGTGTTGTAAAACTTACCAATAGATTTCCTTTTAACGAATGTCGGAGCAGTTTCATTCTTGCTTCCAACATTAGAAACCAAGGGCTCGGCTATCTTATCATCACCGTCAACATCAACATGATCTTCCTCTTTCACAACAGACAGTTCAGTTTTCTCACCTCTCTCTCTCATTTCATCAAAGTCTGACTTAGAATCCGTCGATTTACTCTCCAATATATCCTCCTCTTTCATAGCTGGAATTTCAGTTTTCTCACCTTTCTTTCTTGTTTCCTCACAATTAGATTCATAAACCATCCGTTTACTCTCCAATATATCCTCTTTCATGGTATCATCAACAGAGATTTGGTCTAAACTAAACTTTTCTAGAGAACCCAATTTTGCAGTATTGTTTTTCTTCAGAGTAGCTACATTTTCAGCTTTACTGCCACCTGCATCTTCCACAGACACCTTGTGATCGCGTAACTCTTCAACATCCATGGGATAAGATTCACTGCCATCGAGGGCAACATTGGTGGATGACAACTGCACCATCTCTGGCTTAACTTCTAGGAATTTGACATCATCAGCAACTACATCAACTTTTAGTTCATTTTTCTCAATAATGGGGGCAGATTCAGTAGAAACAGAATGAGAAATTACTTGAACCCTTAAATCAGAGTTGACCTCAGATACCTGATAGTTTATATCAGATGAGTTGACCTTCGCGTCCATGTGAAGAGACTTCGAGTCATCGTTTTCAAGCTGCACCTCTGACTTCCAGGTTTCAGTTGGGATTTCACAATTTTGAGCATTTGACCCACCCAAAGGTACCATAGACTCACCACTTTCACCAACCAAGGACACCTGACTATATGAATCAGACAGGTTCAGCTTAGCATCCTGCTCAGAAGACTTCGAGTCATCATCATCATCAATCTTTGCAGCTGAATCTTCATTCCCGTTCTTTGTTTCATTGCTATTTAAGGGTTGAACATTAAATGCTGTTACGGACTCCAGCATCTCAACCGTAACACCAGTTTCCAAAGTAGCAACCTGGTTGCTTTCCACCCTAACAGAATCACTTCCATGGATTAATTCCTCTTCTAGTTTTCCTTTGTCCGGTGTGCCTCTGCCATCATCAACCTCAATCTCAGGCATTCCACTATCTAATTTTTCAATAAAGTTGTTTCCAGTGTCCTTGAGATGCTTTTCTGTTTCAGAAACACAAGGTTTAGTTGTAGCTTGTTTAGACTGTAACTCAGGCTGGGAAGCAATACCAAAACCATTATCAGTATTTCCCTGGGCACTTTCAGTTTCATTGCGAATAGCTTCATCCAACCTCTTTACCAAATCTTCCTTCAACCCCTTGATGGTCAATTTACGTCTCTTTAGTTCTTCCTTTAGCTCAGTGACCTTCCATTGATCAATTGGCCTCTTGTCAAGAACAGCATATGGTGATGACATCCTGTACGATACCAAATTACCCTTCAACAGGAATCTTACCCTGATTAAAACAAAAGAAACTTTAAAAGAAGGCTTCCAATTCAAGTAAAATAACCACACAGTATCACACTCTAACAGAGCAATGTAAAACAGTCCATAGCTATAATAACTAATAGTTACATCGAACTCTTACCATACAAACAAATATGCAGGAAGTAAAGGACTCACCCCCAAAAAAGAAAGAAAGGCAACGATAAAGACCCCCAAAAGTCTCAGTGTTTAACGTGAATAAATTTGTGACGGCAAGGGAAGAGTAAGGAGGACAGCATAATGCACCTAATACCATAAATTATTTTAGGCATTAAAAGATGGTATATCCACGATTCAAACATTGTAATATTTTATTTTCTACAGCTAAAAGCAAGAAATAAAAACCTACTAACTTCCCTCATCATACAACCGGTTCCACTCTCCCAGATTACTTCAGGATAGTTAAAGAAAATAAATTGCATATTCACATATGATTAAGTTGAAAAAAACACTACATTATATGTTACTTATCACCAGACAAGTAGACAATATGTTTCTCCCTTCTTTTTTGGCCAATAAATTGCAACTATTTTTCTAATAACCGCCCTATTAAATGCTCCATGCCTCTGTCAATCCTTCAGCCGTAATTTGATTACGCTTTGAGACACAGCTATAATCCAACAAAGAAATGATACGATCTTGTGAAAGAGGAAAAAGGGCAATCTCCATAACAAAAATTTGATCCAAAAATCACTTTGTTAACAGACTTTATACATGTCACGCAATATTCCCAAATGGATCCCAGGTGGTTTTACCAATTCTACGCGGAAATGGAAAACCAAATCAAAGTAATAATACAGAAAGAGATTTGTACGGAGAAAAAGTGAAACAACAAAAAAAATTTGATATAACACTCACAGATTGATGATGCGACACGATGTGCTGCGTATGAACTTCAATAATCTAACCCACACTTCACGACGAAGGTGTGGAGATACAAAACCCTAGTATCATCACAACACAAAGCAAAAATCAGATTTAAAAAACCAAAAAACACAATTTTAATATAAAAATTTATTCCGATAAATAAACTAATTGAGCGAGCAGTCGAATTAGGGCATTTTTTTTCCCTCCGTTCTCTATTTGTGCGTGCGCATTTGTGTGTGCAAGGAAAAAAAATGGATCAGAGATCGAGAGGGCGTGTAGGGATAAGACAAAGCCGACTTATGTGCGAAAATAAGAGTTAATTGTTCTAATGGTGACTGAGCTTAGGTTTATGTTTTTCATTGGTAGTTGAAGTTTAAATTATTGAGTTTTGATCATTGAAGTTAGGCTCATGTCTTTGATCGCTTAATAAAACTTAAAATGTCGAGTTTTGATGGTTAAACTTTGAAAGACATTATACATTATCCATTGTAAATTCGACATTTTTCAGAGTTTCAAATTTATACTAATGAGTAACATACAATATTTTCAAAATTCAATGGTCAAAATTCGTCATTTTAAATTTCAATGAACAATTAAAAACATAGAACTAAATTCTTTGTTAAGACTCAATATTTTAAACTTTAGTGACTAATCAAAAATATAAACGTAAGTTTAGTGACTATTGGAACAATTAATTCGTGAAAATACAAATACAACCTTAGGTTTATATTTGGAAATTGAATATTTCTATATTGGGCTTTACTTGATGGGCTTCATTTTTGCCGTATCCATGACAAATTAGGGAAAATATAAGCAAATGTCCCCCGTCTTTATCCATTTACAACCTGGCCAGTTCTTGTTTGAGTCTCATTTTTCACACATAAAGTAAAGAAAAAAAATTAATTTTACGCATAAATTATTTTATTGGTAGAATATATGTTTGAAAATCAATTTTTGAATAATGAGGCTTAAAGAGGAGCTTATATACAAGAAATTGTTAAAAATGATCAAATTTGGAGTGAGATAATATAAAATCTCACGAATAAAATCCCTTGAACAATCCGTTAGATAACCAAGGGATTGTGTGGGGGGATTGTTCAAGGGGAACTGCCCAAATCTCACTTTATTTTACGAATGTTCAGAACTCTGGCATGTTAAAACAAATCCATTATTTTGTTGGCTTTATTCCACTCAGGTCATCCCTTATAACTTTCAACTTTCTCTCGAGCCGATCTTGACCTTTTTTCTCTCATGTGTTCTTTCTCCCTTTCCTTCGCTCTTTCCATACATTTTGCTCTTGAGAAAGGGTGCCAAGAAAAATAAGTTAAAGACGTGAGCATTGAGGGATGGAGGTTGTAGGGGAAAGGTGGGTGGCTATGTTGATAGAAGAGGCGAGGAAGAGAAAAGTTAGAAAATAAATGAAAGTACTATATTTGTTAAGGTTAAATTAAATAATTAGAAGCATATTGGGTAGTACATGTGAATCTCTTAAAATTTATGGATAAAAATTTGTTGAAGTATTTACAAATCATTTATAAGCATGAACCAAATAATTATAGTGCTATTGAAGCTTAATAGATTATAAGCTTAACAGATTATAAATTATTTATAAACATGAACCAAAAATTATGGTGCTGTTGTAACTTAATAGATGCTAACCTTTTTAATAATAGAAAATTTAAGTATCACATTTCAAATGCCAAATAAGCCTCCGTTTGAGCATATCTATAAATGGTATATATAAAAAAGAAATATTAATAGAAACAATTAATTTTATACAAGTAGCATGACTCAGAAAACGTAACAAGTCTTACAAAATGCATGGAACAATAATAAATAAGATTTATAAATGTGCTATTGAAATTATTGCTTGACTTTTGACTGAATTTATAAACTACTTATAGTCCTTGTTTGGTTTAGTTAGGTAGTCAGTTAAAATCCAAATCAAAGTTTACAATTAATTCTAAATTAATATTATCTAACACCAATGGTCACGTAAAAATATAGTTTTACATCTCATTTGAATAAACTAAAAAAACAAAAATAAAATAGAAAAACAATAACAAATAAAAAAATTAACAACCAATATACCAAAAAAATAGAAAAATGTCAAAATCAATTAGTCTTACTCCTCAATCAATCCCACCAAATTTAATCCTCCACCACTTGTAGATGACGCAACTAAAATATAATTATCTTATTCTTCGTCCTATTAGATCTAAAGTGTATTGGTATGTTTCATGTCTAGAATCACAGTTTATCGAGTTGTAATTAGAGTCGAGTTGTTAGGGAGTTGGGAATGTCTTTGGAAGGAGACAAAGTCAGCTCGAGAAGATCAAGTCACTAGAAAAATGGAAGTAGTCCGCCTGAGGAGCATTCGAATGATTTTAGCAGTAAGTTCACTGCTCATTGTCCACGCGCGGAGCACTTAAGCGGTCATACTAATCAACCAAACCCTAGATCAGGATTTTGGCAGATTTTACAATCCCAAACATCCTCACACACTTCATATCATAAGTACTCAAACCATAGTCCAATTGTTGGTTGAGCCTATTTTCATTCAAGAGAACAAAGTTTTGAAGATTAATAATATCCTACCTTCTCTGATAAGAGCCACTTGAGGGTTTACTATTCATTCTTGTAACCCTTGTGTTCACACGGTAACCTGGTTCCACTAAATATCTGAACTATAAAATGGCTTATGCTCTCTCTCTCTCTCTCTCCCCCCATTCTCTCTCAACTGTACATAAAACTCCCAAAATTTTCCCTAAAATATGGAATCCTTAGAAGACCCCCAAAGAGAAGAAGCACAATCAACGCTAGAACGTATAGGGTGGCCATAATCACCACCATCAACCCTCATCACTCTTTTTCTTCATCACCTAATAGCAAATGTTGCTATTGCTTTCTCTCGTTCATTTGTGGCGCTGCTTATGTTGCTGTCATAGCAACAACTCCTTCCATCGCTACCAGGAAGGTAAGGTCAGTTTTGTTTAAATTTCATGATTTTTTACTCATCTCGATGCATTTCTAGGGATTTTGTTGGCACTGTGGATCATCACCAGCGACATTCTTCCGTTAATTTGAAGTCAATGAAGTCGGCCGACCAAAATTTCCATCTGATGGTTCAGAAAATATCTCCTCCACAATCCAACGTTCAGCTGTACTCTGTAAATGGAAATGAAGTCTCAAAGGCTAATATTAATATCAGTAATATCTAGAGTCATAAGAAAATAAAAGATGAAGATGGAGTGAGGGAAAGATGAGGGATTTGGAAGAAATGATGTCAGAATTAAATTTTGATGTCCTAGGAATTTGTGATGTCCTCACTTGGGATGGGGTACTATAAACTATTAGTGCCACTGCCACAAGCCGTTGGGCACTATGGGCTAAGGGCGACTATCAAAACGAACCAATATTTGCAAGATTGTTGGCCCAATTGAAACGAACTAAAATGTTGCCGCTTTCAAGGACCAAGAAATGGCGTCTCTTTCTATTTCAACATTGTTGATTAGTAAAAAAAAAAATGATTTAAGGATAGAATTGGTGCTGAGTGGCCCAAAAGTTAGATTGCTTCTTTGATTTTTTTATTTTTATTTTTTATTTTCATTTACTTCTTGATTGAAGAAATACTTGGAGTTTATGTGATTGAAAATTAATTTAATTGCAAATGATTACTATTATTAATATTTTTGTAATTTTTTGTTTGCAATTATAAGAGGAAATATTGAACGACTAATTCTAAATTTGACTTTGCAATTTGAACGATATTTTATTTTCTCTTGAGAAAATGTTTTCCCTTTGATTGGATTAAAGAGAAATAAAGGGTGTTAATGACTTTTTTAAGGTTGACTATAAGATTCATTTTTACCTTGCAATTTTACTATGATCTTTGATAAACTTTGTGGTTTTCATTTAGATATCTTTGCTTTTACAGGAAGTGAAAAATTCATTTGATTTTTTTGGGGACAGCAAATGGTGGTTTGGTCTATTGTGTCGAGTGCGTACAGTAATTATTTGAGCAAGTTAGGCATCATAAAGTAAATGTTGATGACAATGTCTGCACTATGATGGTGACAGTTCTGGTTCTTGAGATAATCTTCTCATAAAATTTTAGTAATTGTGGTACATATGTGAATCACAATATGCATGTAAATAAAATCTTTGGTTAGCCATGACGTTAGTTCTAGAATGCAGCTAAAGAATCATTGCATAGCATTTTCATGTCACTTTGAGCTGATAAAGCGGCTCGTTTATGGAAATTGTGGCATGATCAATGCTAATGAATTTATTCATATAGCAACTATGGTAAGCATCTAATGACTTCATTGCTTTACTTAAAGCATGTTTGACTAAGCTTAAAAAAGATTTTCTGCCTAATATAGTTAGATATGCTATTTTTCTTGCTTACAAGTTAAAAAAGTTACTTATTTAATTATAAGTAAACTTTTTGATCTTGGCAATAAAAGTTGTTAGGTACTTTTTATTAACAAAAGCTTCCTAAATTTTGCATACTATTTATGTTTTACATGTTCGTTGTTGCGATTTTAATTTACTTACAAGTTGATGTACTTGATTTGTAGCTATATGACCATCAGCATCACATAGGCCTTCTCATTCTAGAAAATGAGTGGGTTTCCATTTACGAACAAGCTAAAATTGCTGCTGAATTGAAGTTTAAGCATGAAAAGGTAGCTCGTGCATCTGATTTGGCAGATCCCAGAAAGTGGGAAGATAGTCTGAAACAGGTTATTGGAATTGAGAAAGAATTTGCTAAAATGCATTATTTTGTAAGGTTCTCCCTTTTATTTTTATGATGTGTATGGTCCTTGTCATAATTTCTAATATAATGAACTTATGTACATTGAAAATTCATTTGATGAGTACTTATCTAAAAAAAAAAAA